AATTGGAGGAAAGTGTGGGGCACATAATTGAAAAATAAGATGGAGCAATGGATTTTGGATGCATGTCTGCTAGTGAATCATTCTGTGACTCTAAGTACAATACTTCGTGCTCTGATTCCCCATCTGGAAAATGATGATAATATAACTATCTGCAAAGTATGACACGAGATTCTATTTTTTAAAAAGAGGAGAACGTCAACCAGGTTTTTGGACTTTGGGATCCAAATAAGTAAACATTCAAAACAAGAGTCTAAGAAATGATAATCTTTGTTTCAGGTGAAGCCTGAAACATTTTATCCTTAGTTAACAGAATTTGTAATATTTTAGGAAGCCACTTTAAATCTAAGGTTCTATCAAATTAATAATAGCATTCATATATTGTTTAGGCAAAGGGACAGATTAATAAGTAATTTACAAAAGATTCCACACATTTGGTCAAGAAACAATTAAAAATATCAAATCTCATTAGTAACATAAAAATTGCAAGCAAGGCCAGGCATGGTGGTTTACGCTTATAATCTCAGCACTTTGGAGGCCGAGGTGGGTGGATCACTTGAGGTCAGGAGTTTGAGACCAGCTTGGCCAATATGGTGAAACCTCGTCTCTATTAAAAATGCAAAAATTAGCCAGGCGTGAGGCGGGCACCTGTAATCCCAGCTACTTGGGAGACTGAGACAGGAGAATCACTTGAATCTGGTAGGTGGAAGTTGCCATGAGCCGAGATTGCGCCATTGCACTCCAGCCCAGGCAACAGAGCAAGACTCCGTCTCAAAAGAAAAAAAAAAAAATTAAAAACAGTCCGATGATACAAGTCTAGTTTTGGTGTGGGTGTGAGGAAACAAGCACATTATTGGTGAGAGTACAAGTTAATATAGTATAGGAATTTGAGGAGAAAAAGTTTAAACCTGCATGCCCTTTGACAGAGAAATCCCACTCCAAAGAATCTGTTCTACCTAAACACACTATGTAAAGATGCACATATGACGGTGTTGGTGACAGTGCTGTTTGTAATGGCATGAAAAGGACACCTAAACATCTGCTAATAGAAAATGATTCAATAACTTGTGGTATTACCGTCTCCCATTATTAAAAAGAATGAAGTAAACCCACATATTCTGATGGATAGAAAGGGGGGATGCTCCGTAAACTTTTGTTAAGTCATTAAAAACAAGTTATAGAACAATATGTAGAATATGATCTCATTTTTTGAAAAAGCTGTGTATGAAAAACTATTCACTAACTGAGTAAGAGAAAGACTGAAGAAAAGTTGAGGGGTGACTTTTCATTTTTTACTTTATATGCTTCCACATTATAATTTTTATGACAAGTGTAAGTGATTTTTGTTGTTAAAATCATTTAAGGCTGGGCGTGGTGGCTCACACCTGTAATCCCAGCACTTTGGGAGGCCGAGGTGGGCGGATCACAAGGTCAGGAGATCGAGACCATCCTGGCTAACAGGTGAAACCCCGTCTCTACTAAAAATACAAAAAATTAGCTGGGCGTGTTGGCGGGTGCCTGTAGTGCCAGCTACACTGGAGGCTGAGGCAGGAGAATGGCGTGAATCCAGGAGGCGGAGCTTGCAGTAAGCCGAGATTGTGCCCCACTGCACTCCAGCCTGGGTGACAGAGTGAGACTCCATCTCAAAAAAACAAACCAAACCAAACAAACAAACAAAAACTAATTTCATCATCCTGGTCATTTCTGGGTCTGTTTCTATTGATCGATTCTTCTTCCATTTATGGCTCATGTTTTAATGCTTCTTCACATGTGTAGTAATTTTTTTATTGGATCCTAGGCATTGCATATATTACATAGTTAAGTACCTGAATTTTGTTGTCTGTCTTGAAAGACTGTTAAGTTTCGTTCAAGAAAGCATTTAATTTACTTGCAGTACAGTTTTTTCAGCTTTGTTCAAGTGGGTCTAGAATAGTCTTTACTATTGGGCTAATTTAGCTTTAAAGTGCGGCCTTTTTAGGGTCTCTTTACCAAATGCTGCAGGTTTTTAATAAGATTTCCCATTCTAATCAGTCAGAGCCTGAATGTTTCCAAACTCTATACAAGTTCTTGTAGCTGTTCAGCTTAAATTTCCCCAGTAATTTTATTCACCAGTCTCATATGGTCTACCCTTAAAGTTATACCAAAGATTCACAGGAATCCTTATGTATATTTCTAGAGCTCTTTCTCTGGCACTCTGCCCCACAAATACCATTTGTTTCAATCTCTATTAATTCCAATATCTGTGTCCTCAACAAACCCTGCTTGGCTTTCTTCTATCCTGTGCTTAGGTAAATACCTCCAGAAAGAAATCTGTGGATATTCTGGGGGCTCATCTGTTTTGTTTTCCTTTCTTCCAAGATCACAATTTTACTATGCCAATTGTCCAATGCCTGAAAACACTTGTTTCATAGATTTGGTCCAGTTTTCTATTACAGTAGTGGGAGGTCTAGTCTAGTATCACTTATTCATTCATGGCTGGATTGCCCTTAACCTTTGGAAAAACATAAACTTTCTATTCAATAGTAAAATACATACTGAAAAATTGGATAAGTATAGTGTACAGCTTGATGAATTTTCTTTTTTTTTTTTTTTTTTTTTAAGACAGGGTCTTACTTCGTTGCCCAGGTGGAGTACAGTGGCACAAACATGGCTCACTGCAATTTCAACCTCCAGGACTCAAGCAATCCACCCACCTCAGCCCCCCAAGTAGCTGGGACTACAGGTGTGCACCACCACGACTGGCTAATTTTTGTATTTTTTTTTTTCAGAGAGGGTTTGGCCATGTTTCCCAGGCTGGTCTTGAACTCCTGAGCTCAAGAAATCTGCCTGCCTCGGCCTCCTCAGCCTCCCAAAGTGCTGTGCTGGGATTACAGGTGTGAGCCACCATATCTAGTCCAGTGAATTTTCATTAATTGAAAACACCATGTAATCAACACCTGGATCAATAAGAACATTACTAGAACTCCAGTAATCCCTTATTGTTCCTTTCTAATTATTAACACTAATAATTGTAACTAATTGGTTACCTAAGGTTAACCAATATTTTACTTCTATTACCTTATATGAGTTCTTATTTTGAACATTATGTAAATGGAGTAATATAGTAATCATTTTTTGTGTCTGACTTATTTCACTCAATTTTTGTGATTGTAAAATTCATGCATGCTTTGCATATAGTTGTAGATTATTGTCCTTCCTGTATAGTATTCTATTATGTGAATATTCTTTTTTTTTTTTTTTTTTTTTTTTTTGAGACGGAGTCTCGCTCTGTTGCCTAGGCTGGAGTTCAGTAGTGTGATCTTGGCTCACTGCAACCTCTGCCTCCCAGTTTAAGCAATTCTCCTACCTCAGCCTCCCAAGTAGGTGGGATTACAGATGCCCACCACCACGCCTGGCTAATTGTTTTGTATTTTAGTTGAGACAGGGATTCACCATGTTGACTAGGCTGGTCTCGAACTCCTGACCTCAAGTGATCCGCCCCCCTCGACCTTTCACAGTGCTGGGTTTACAGGCATGAGCCATCGCGCCGGATGAGAATATTCTAAAATTTATTCATTTCATGAACATTCTTATACATATGTTTTCCAGTGAATATATGAATACATTTATGTTGAGTATATATCTAGGACCAAATCTATGTTAGTTCAGGCCTTTCTTCTGAACTTTAGACCTACATATCCAAATCTACTTGACATCTCTATTTATAGACATTTCAAATTTAACATATTCCAAGCCATTTGCTCCTCCTCCTGTGTTCTGTGAATCAGTAAATGGCTTCTTAATCCATCTAGTTACTTAAGGAGTCATCCTTAATATTCCTCTTTCTTGACCCTTCCCGGCAAACCAATCTGTTATTAAGTCCCTTGGATACCATCTCTAATTTATACATATCTTGAAATTATCTGCCTCTTTCTGTCTCTAACTCCCATTATACTAGTTCAAGCCATCATTTCTGGCTTTGCCTGATGAAACTGCCTCCAAATGGCCTTCCAGCAGCCTTTCTTGCCCTCTTCCGAACTATTCTCCACAAACAGCCTGAGTGATTCTTAAATATGCAAATAGGATCCTACTTAATAGTCTTTATTAGTTGCCCATTGACCTTGGGCTGAGATGAGACAAGGGCCAGACCATGCTGGCTCTTATTGGCCACATTACAGATTTCAGGCTGTATTTTGGAAGTTTCTCCTTGCTCCCTACACTCCATCCACACTGACGTCCTTTTACTTCCTAGAGCACACGAAGTTCTTTCATGCCCTAACAACCTCACACATAATAGTTCCTTGACGGGGAACATTCTCTAAGGTTCTTTAATATGCCTGCAGCTTAAAAGGCACTTATTCAGAAGTCTCTTTCCTGACAGTCCAAAATTAATTCATCATTGCACCCACTAATTTTCCCTCCCAGTACTGATCACAATTTATAATTCTGTAACTATTTATGCTTTCATATCTTTTGCTCCAATTACGTCTTAAATTCCATCAAGTGTTATGTCCACTCCTGTAACCCCGCGTTTAACACGGTGCTTGGCACATGGTGAACAGTCAGTAAATGCCTGTTTAATAACGCATGACCGATGCGAAGGCTGGAAGGGGTCGCGGGGTCGGCATCTGGCACTTCTCTGCCATAGTTTGTTTCCTTCTTGTGTGTGGGGATAGACGGGGCCAGGTCCTCTCCTTGCTCACCCAGAGGGGGGTTTTCTCCCTGTCCCCTTTGTAAGTGTCTGCTGTAGGGGCCGCGTGTGAAAGACAAAATGCCTGCAGATACAGGGCGGCGAGAGGAGGGGATTGGCCCTATTTCTAAAGTCAACGTAGTTCTGTCATCAGAGGACTGTACTTTTCTGGCGCAGGTGCGAGAGACGCTGCCAATCTCTCCTGGAGCGGGTGGGACTAAGGCGGGTCCTGGGATCGGGCGGGTTGTTGTGTCCTTCCTGCAGAATCCGATTGGCCTGGGCGAGCCGAGGGAACGGGGGCGTGGTTTGATTCCGCGGGCGCGAGCCACGTTGGACGCGCCGCAGCCCCGCCGAAAGGCCCCTCCCAGGCCCCACAATGCACTGCGGGGTGCGTCACTCGGAGCGGCGGGTCCCGTCTCGACAGGTACTTCCCGGCCCCTCCCAGTCCTCTTCTTCCCTTCTTAGAGGTCGTTCGAACCCCTGCCGGCCTCTCCCCTCCCTCTCCCTGCCTCCCGCGACAGCCTCGGCCTTCGCCCTCGGGACTGAAGACCTACCCGACAGGCAGGAGCCAAGTCCGTGCCTTTGGGGTGGGAGCCGGGGCCGCGGAGCTCTGGAGGGACGGGCAAGCAGGAACCCCGTTCCCTTCGACTTGAGGGTTCTCTGGGGCCACGCGGGCGGCCGTTGCGCCTCGTCTGAGCCGCCTCGGGTATTGGGCAGCCAGGGAAGGAGTGTCTAAAGGGGAGGGACTGTCGCACTTGGCTGTCAGCAGGTTGGTAGGGATTCCCTGGCGCCCAGTTGTCAGAAACACGGTGATCTACCTGTGTAGGTGGCCCGCGGGAGCTTGAGGTGGTATTTCCTATTTCTGTTAGGCAGAATGGGACTTGAACCAGTGTCTTACTTTACGTCTTGTGGGGATGGAGTGAGCCCTGAACCCAGATATTTGCCCGTGTTGGCTCACGGAAAGCTCTTGAGACCCTGCCTCAAGAGTCACTTTGGGAACGATGTGGCAGAAGGGAGACCTGAGCAATTGGCTCAACAAGTGGAGGAGGCTTCCGAAAGAAAAGGACAAGCCCCAGCTGTCTTGAATCTCTCTGCCAGTGAAGACAGCTTAAGATAATTTTTCTCCTGCTGCTTAGTTTCCTGGGTCGTCCACCTGGGGCAGGGGCTAGCTTGAGAACCAGTCCCTCCTGTGCCTATTCAGCCAAGGCAAAGCCTAGCCCAGAGCAAAAATGTCAGCCACCAGACTGGAGATGTTGGGAACTTCAGTCAGGGGAACAGCTACTTTTCAAACTCTGAATCACTTTCCATGTTATTGATATTTGCTTACATGCTAAGATCGTAAGGAATCAGGCAGTGCCTTAAACGGTACCTACAATTTGTGGTATATTAAGGTTCCTTCAGTATTTAATTCTGACACCTGTGACCGTATCCTAAAGTAATGGGGCATTCGGGTATTTCCTATGTTGAAAACCATCACATCTGTTTAGTGCCTTTTTGTGTGTGTGTGCGTGCAATTGGTTAAAATCGAAGTATATCTTATGTTGGTCTATGAAAGAGGCCCAGGTATCACAGGGGTGCCTGTGACCTTCCTTGAGTGTCTCACAGAGTTGTTAGAGTTGGGTCTGAGTTTAAATCCCTACTTTGTCACCTACTGGTTTAGAGATTAAAAAAATTCCTTAAGCTTTCTGGGCTTGAATTTCCTCAAAGGTAAAATGGAACTAATAATACCTACTTCACAGGTTTTTGGAAGGCTTAAATGAGGTAATGTGTATAAAGTGCGTGGTCCATGGAGAGTTATCAATAAATAATATAGCAAATATTTAATATAGTGCTTTTAGTATGTTACAAGGCAGTGTTTCAGGCGCTTTACATCATCCTATGAGATAGATACTATTGTCATCTTTAAAATAAGCCTATGAGATAGATACTGTTAGTAGCCATAAAGTATAGATGTGGAAATTGAGATGTAGAAAGGCAAAGCTTGCCCAAATTTACATGTCTGCTACATGGTGAAGCCAGGATTAGAACCCAGGCAGCAAGTGAATAGCTAGTTTCTATATCCCTGGTTTCTTATCTCTTATTGGTTTTGGTAGACTGATGAAGCATAGTGGTGTGTAGATACTAGAAACTTAGACTGAAGTACCAGTTCTGATATATACTAGCAATGTGACATTGAAGTGAGCCTCAGTTTCCTCATCTGTAAATTGGCAGTTCTACCTACCCAACTGTGAACTATGTGGCACTATACAAGTGTTGGAATTGACACATTTGAGCATGTATTGGGGGCCCTGTCCTAGATGTGGGTAAAATCTGTTGTGAAGCCTGAGGTCTTATACATACTGTGCAGTGTAAGCATCCGTAATAGGAATGTCACACACTGCTAGTGAGGTAGAGGGCATAGGCAAAATGACAGAAATTCCATCCTCTTTATCACCCAATCTATCCCCCACCCTCCCTGTGTATCACAAGTAGTATAGCTTTCTGTCCAAATTAACTACCACCCTTCCCCATTCCCACAGATCTCAGCTAACACTTTTAATAAAATAATATGTACCATATTGGTACTGTCACATATGCAAGATAATTTGATAAGCAAATGAACATTAAAGTTCTCCCAAAATTTTCACACACATACATATTTGAATGAAACAAGTTCTTTTAATTTAAATTAGGAGAAAAACTTAATATCTCAAAACTGATTTCACAGATATTATTACTAAAAAATAAAGGACAAGAAAAGTAAGTCAATTCAAAGACCAATATTAAGTAAATAGTACAGATGGATGAAGATAATTCTGAAAGTGGTACTTGGATGACTGAAGACTGGGAAATTATGAACTAAAACAAATATGAGTGCTTTTGCCCCCAGTATAAAATGTTTTTATCTTAAAAGTGGCATTTGTGAAAGCATTTGGTTAGAACGTATATACAAAATCCACTTATATGTTGGGCTTTATTTATTACCTTTTGAGAGATACCTTCCTGAGACATTGAGCCCATAGTCATTACCCACACAAGGTTCTGAAGAAGAGGGGTGTCTTGTTATCTTGGGTCTGAGAACTTGCTAGCCATTACCATAGTAGTTTGGCATTGTGGGAATTTATTTTCCTCAGCCTTTATGTAAAAGTTTACCCAGATTTACCTAGATTCTAACTTGTGCTTTTTCCTCCAACAGTTGCTGATGGGGAGAGGAAAAAATAGCCACTGTTCCGGTTCCCTATGAGTTAACTGCTGCTGTCCAAAGGCAGGTGTAATATTTTCTGTGTATTAAAGGTGAGGAGAAATGGCCCAGTGCCCTAAACATTTATCTATGACCCTGATAAGCTAAAAACTCCTAAATCTTCCCATGCAATTGTTGTAACCTCTTGCTTTCCACAGTTCCACTGATTCTTCCTTGGGATTTTCCCAACCACAACCCTCCTTAGACCTTAAAGATACTTTAACCTAGTTTAGGCCTGACATGGACACATTTCCTTTTCTGCTAGTGCAGTCCAGATAAGATTAGTTTAAAAAACAACAAACTATATTATGAATCCAAGGTAAAAAGAAAAAAAGTAGGGGTATGTTTATTGAATTGATGGAGCGACAGCTTAGCCTAAGGTGATTGGAGTCTGTCTACAAATTAGTTAAGCCTGACGTTGATCATTGGACATTCATCCCAGTTTGTCAGGCTTAAATTCAAGTGGTTTGGATGCTGAATCAAATTACTCTGGTAGGAAGAGGTTTAATTTTTTCCCTAAGAAAAATCTTATCTATAGATATGTGGAAACAGTTCTCTGACAACCTTGTAATAATTTTGACAGGGAATGTAACTGCTATGTTCTGCTTTTGGTTAAAGGCTAAAGTATGTATTAGGAAAATTTGAGGCTGGGCGCTGTGGCTGACACCTGTAATCCCAGCACTTTGGGAGGCCGAGGCGGGCAGATCACTTGAGGTCAGAAGTTTGAGACCAGCCAACACAGTTAAATCCCATCTCTACTAAAAATACAAAAATTAGCCAGGCTTGGTGGGGGGCACCTGTAATCCCAGCTACTTGGGAGGATGAAGCAGGGGAATTGCTTGAACCCAGGAGGCAGAGGTTGCAGTGAGCCATTGTACTCCAGCCTGGGTGACAGAGTGAGACCCTGTCTCAAAAAAAAAAAAAAAATTGAAATGTAAGTTTGTCCAACTTTAGTTTTCCAGTTAGTGAAGTGGTGGGCAACACACCTATGTTTGTTCTTTTCATCTGAATTTCTCTAATTTGGGGGTGTTTCTTGATGGTAGGACTCTTCGTTGCTACTATCTGGCAAAATTCATGGCACACAGTAGATACTCAGTAAATGTTTGTTAAATGAATGGAACTCAAAAATTGTATTCTTTTTACAGTACGTGTTTTAGAAAGTATGGATCATATATTTATTGATCTGTCCTCCAAGTCATTAAAGAATAACTTTGAAGACTACATGAAATTTGGCAACCTATTAATAAAGACTATTCCTAATATTTCTATTAGGATCCTAGAGAGGCCAGACATAAAGTAATGCAGTCTACTTTTATTTTACTTTTTGAGACAGGATCTTGCTCATCACCCAGGTTGGAGTGCAGTGGCACAATCATAGCTCACTGTTGCCTTGAACTCCTGGTCTCAGGCGACCCACCTGCTTCAGCCTCCCCAAAGCAAGGACTATAGGCGTGTGCCACTGTGCCCAGCTGATTTTAAAAATTTTTTTGTAGAGACAGAGTCTCACCATGTTGTCTAGGTTGGTCTTGAACTCCTGGCCTCAAGCAGTGTTGGGATTATGGGTATAAGCCATGGCACCCAACCCAGTCTACTTTTAAATACTAAAATATGGGTATTTAGAACTGTAAGTTACAACTTGCCCTCAAATTAATTCCCAGAATGGTTATTGTGTTGCAGTGTACTTCTGGAAAGACAACAGTTTTATAGTTAAATAATAAATGCTTAAGGGTATAAAGTAAGACATTTTCTTACTTTCTTACACTTAGGCTAAATGTTAACAGTTTTGATTTAATAATTAAATAAAACATGGTAAAAAAAATTTAAAGAGGAGTTTATAGTATAGGTATCTTTTCAGGGATCCCAGCTTTTTCATGCTACTGCTTTTAGAAGAGAAAAAAGACTGGATGAATGGAAAAAAACACCGATTGCGATATGTCACACTGGGACTTCAGTTTGGAGATTCCACTGTAATAAAAAGACTAATTTGCTTCTGGATATTTTTCTCTTTAAATGAATGGAGGGGCTGTGTGTGGTGGCTCACCCCTGTAATCCCAGTACTGCGGGAGACTGAGGTGGACAGATCACTTCAGGCCAGGAGTTTGAGACCAGCCTGGCCAACATGGCGAAACTCTGTCTCTACTAAAAATACAAAAATTAGCTGGGTGTTGTGGCGTGTGCCTGTAATCCTAGCTACTCGGGAGGCTGAGGCATGAGAATTGCTCAAATCTGGGAGGTGGAGGTTGCAGTGAGCTCAGATCGCACCACTGTACCTGCCTGGGTGACATAGAGAGACCCTGTCTCTAAATAAAGGAGAAAAATATTAAAGGGTAATGACACAGTAATACCTAGAGATTTCTCCTTCTTCCTCATGAAAAGAGGAAAAAGGGATAGTGAACTTAATGCTTTAGCTTTATTAGTTGGGTTAATTTTTATTGTCAGATCAGTGATCACCATGAATGGGATGTCGGATTTTGACTTCACACAGCAGTGAAAATTATCAACTCCTGATTTACAAGCTTTGTAACAATTGGTTTTCTATGGGTTTTTTTTTTTTTTAAATATGTATTACTAACTCATTTTTTCCTTTTTGAAATGAGATAATATTGACCTAGATGAAGTGGTCAGGTAAGGATTAATTTAGTCTCTAAGATACAGTATTTTTAGAAAAATGCCTATGAGATTTTAATCAAATTTTCGAATTTTCACCGGTTGCCTCACCACTAGTGAGGAAGCCCTTAGTGACATTGTGCCTGACAGAGAAGAGTTATCACTTAATCTTAGATAGTGAACGTGTTTTAATTTAATGTTTTAAAAAGTATGAGCCTTAGACAATAAGCAGATTGTCAAGCCCTATCTCACAGTCAGTGGTTCAGAATTTTGAGGGCAGAGCCCAGAAATCTGCATTTTTAACTATCAACTTCTTATGCAAGCTGAAGTTTGAGAGCCACTGTATATTTTATGAAAGGTTGAGTGACTGTTGACCTGAGCTCCTTCAGACTCAGGCCTGTGAAGTCCTTTCATCTGTTTTTGTAAAGCAAGAAGAGAATCCAATAAAATAGGCCATTAAGATTTACTTCCTGGTTAAACAATTGAGAACAACATTAAAACCAATATCCTTTAGCTTTAGAATTTACTTTAAATAATTTTTTTTCGATTATAAAAGTAGTATATGTCTACTGTGAATATTGAGAACATTTAGGAAATTACAAAATAATAATTACCCATAATACCATTTCGTAGAGGTGGGCGTATTCTTAATTTGGCATCGTTTTCTGCATCCATTTGTCAATCCCTTTTTCCTTCTCTTTATCTTTGCCTCTTTATCCTTATGTTTGTGTAAAACAACATTTGCAATTGCTATCCTGCTTTTTTCTCTTTAACATATAAGCATTTTACCACATTATTAAACTTTTTCCACAAACATAACTTTTAATTGCTGCATTATATTCTGTTATATGAATATACTATAATTTACTTAACCATCACCATGTTATAGGATATTTAGATTGCTTTCAGTTATTTGAGTGGAAGAATGTCTGTTTAAAATTTTGTCTGGATTTCTGATTATTTTTCTCAAGACAGGTATATATTTAAATTTATTGAGGTCAAAAGATATGCCTTTAAACTCCTGTTGAAATTGCCAAATCATTTTGAGAACTGTTTGTACCAGTTTTTACTTCCATCTGTACTTATGAGAATGCCAGACAGAAGTATTATTTTTTTAAAAGCTAATGTGGTTGGGTGCGGTGGCTCACGCCTGTAATCCCGGCACCGTGGCGGGCGCCGGTGGTCCCAGACACATCCTATCCTGTGGCATGGGATCCCAGGCTGAGGCAGGAGAATTGCTTGAACCCTGGATGGGGGATGTTGTAGTCAGCCAAGATGGCGCCATTGCACTCCAGCCTGGGTGACAGAGCAAGATGCTGTCTCAAAAAAAAAAAAGCTAATATGTTAAGTGAAGCATAATATGTTATTTTAATTAGTTTTGTTTTGTTTTTTTCCTGAGACAGAGTCTCACTCTGTTGCCCAGGCTGGAGCTCAGTGACACGACCTCAGCTCACTGCAGCTTCTGCCTCCGAGGTTCAAGCAATTCTCCTGCCTCAGCCTCCTGAGTAGCTGGGATTACAGGTGTGCACCACCATGCCCAGCTAATTTTTGTAGTTTTAGTAGAGAAGGAGTTTCATCTTGTTGGCCAGGTTGGTCTCAAACTCCTGATCTTGTGCTCTGCCCGCCTTAGCCACCCAAAGTGCTGGGATTACAGGTGTGAGCCACTGTGCCTGGCCATTTTAATTAGTATTCTTATATTACTTGTGAGTTGAACATTTTTACATATGCTAATCAAGTTTGGCTTTAATTTTTATCTAACCCAAATTGTTCTTTTTGTTTTAGGTCTTCTCTGTTGGTTGAAATGTCTATGATTTTATCTGCCTCAGTCATTCGTGTCAGAGATGGACTGCCACTTTCTGCTTCTACTGATTATGAACAAAGCACAGGAATGCAGGAGTGCAGAAAGTATTTTAAAATGCTCTCGAGGAAACTTGCTCAACTTCCTGATAGATGTACACTGAAAACTGGACATCATAACATTAAGTAAGACTTCAGTTTGCTTCATTTGACTCGCTCGCCCAGTAGTTGTCATTTTAATGAAGTTTAAGTGGTTGCAATAGAATGGAGTGATTAGGAAAGCCTGTTCAAGTCAAGAGTCATATTCTGAACTTACACTAAATAGTCATCATGTCAGCCGCAGCCTTTTTGTAGTTTCTTTGTGTTTATATCTGGCTCTAGGAAATTTTATAGTTGCACAGATCATAGATATTCCTCTTATAAGTTCATCACTAAGTATTTATTTGCATTCTTTCTTACCTAGGGATGTAGTAGGCAAACTATAATTGGAAATAAAATTTTTTACCTAACATCTGCCCTCAAAGAACTGAAGCAGCTTACATCTAGTGGGAGCGGGTAGCACTTATCACTGTATCATATATAAATCAAGTAAAACTGGGCAAATGGGTTAGAGAGTGACTCTTTATGGTGGTCAAGGGACTCTCTGAGAGGGTGACATTTGAGCAGAGACCTAAAAGATGAGAGAGGAGGTAGTTATATGAAGGATGCTGTGTATGAAGAGCAAGGCAAAGGTAGCAGCCAGTGGAGAAGCCCGTTTTTACATACCAAGAGACAGAAAGAAAACCATTGATCCTGAAGCATTATGGACAATTAATAGAGTTTTGCAGAAAGTGAGGCCAGAAAGGTAGGAATGGGGCAGGTTATGTAGTAAGTTTGGAGTCTATTAGTCTGTTTAGTTTAATGCAGTAGGAAGATACTGGGTAGTTTTAAGCTGGAGAGTTACATGATTTCATTTGGCTTAGAGTAGGTCATTCTGGCTGCACTGTAAAGAATAAAGGAGAAAGTGGAAGCAGAGAGGTCAGATGGAAGACTCAGAGAAGTTCAGGTGGAGGTGCTGATTGTAACGAGCTAGGGTTGTAATGAATAGAAATAGATTGGGGCTATATTTTGGGATTAATACCAGCAAATCTTCCTACTGGATTGAAATGGGATGTGAGGGAAAAAGAATAATCACCTGTAGTTTTTTGATCTGAGGAACTGGATGAATAATGAAGCTCAAATGAGCAAGAAAGGAGAGGATAAGTGTGTCTGATTGGTAAAAAGTAAGAGTTCTGTTTGGACGTGTTAAATCTGAGATGCCCATTAGACATCCAGGGGGCACTGCTAGGTAAGCAGCTGGAGATATGAGTCTGAAGCTTAGTGAAGAGGACAAGTATAGACATTTAGATTTGGAAGTCAGCCTACAGTTTGTGATTAAAACCATGGGAATGGATGAGACCACCTTGGAAAGCTTAGACGTGAAACAATTACGGAATGATTAACGTCTGAGCAGCTTGATATTGATTACACATACAGAAGGAAGTAAGGTAAAAACACAGTCCATATAGGATATAGTAAACAGAGGACTTCATTGTTGAGATGAGACATGAGCCATGTCCTGAAGAATTAATAAGAGTTGGCTAAGGTAGGGAGGAGGACATTCCAGGTGTACGGAGGAGAGGCAGAATAAGCAAAGAACATGACTTAGCATGGTAGGTGTATTAACATGCTTATCCTGGGTCAGTGGATGGTGATTTAGGGATAGTTGTGAGACACGTGTGATAATCACTATGGGGCCAGATCTTGGATTGCCCTGAAAGTTCAGATTGAAGGGTGTCACTTTGATGTAATATGTTATAGGAAGCTCTGCTGCAAATTCAAGGGAAGTGACTTGATAAAAAACAGTCCTGAGACAGTGGAACTTAGGGTGAGATGGACAGTCCAAGAGGAGAGAGATAAGGCAGAGAGGCCAACTTATTATTAGGGCCTGAAATAAGAAAATAAATGTGCAAATGAAAATTAGAATGCCAAAAGAACTAGAATGATAATGAAGAGAAATAGTTTGATTGGGGATCACTTTGAAGTTAGATCACTTCAAAAGAAGTGACCAAGCTGGATAGGATGGAATACCAGAGATGAAAAGAAGAAAGAGGCAAAGATGACTGAAGCCTTGGAATTGGACAGAATGATGGTGTCATTGCCAGAAATGAGATCTTTGGAACAGACTATGAGGTGTGAGGCAGAAGAGAAAAATAATGAAGCTCCATTTTGATCATTTTTTTAAGACACTGGGGCTTGCTCTGTTACCTAGGCTGGAGTGCAGTGGCATGATGACAGCTCACTGAGCCTCAACCTCTTGGGCTCAAGCGATCCTCCCACTTCAGCCTCTCAGGTAGCTGGGACGACAGGGGCACACCACCACACCCAGCTAATTTTATTTTTAGTGGATGAGGTCTCACCGTGTTGCCCAGGAGTTTGAGATCAGCATGGGCAACATGGGGAGACCCCGTCTCTACAAAAAATTAGCCAAGCATGACATAGTCCCAGCTACTCTGGGGACATAGGTGGTAGGATCGCTTGAGCCTAGGAGGTTGAGGCTGCAGTGAGCTGTGATCTCACCCCTACATTCCAGGGTGACAGCAAGACCCTGTCTCAAAAAATGTATATATAAATAAAATAAATAAATTGAGGTTTTGACAAGGTAGTTCAGTGGAGATGGGATAGAGATTTTGGAAACCTTCACCTAGATGTGGTTGATATTGTGAGGGGAAAAATGCCTACTGGGTTTAGAGAGAGGCCCAGGATAGAACCTTAGAGAATGTCCACAATTTCTTGGATCACCTGGGTAATGGTAAGATAATGGTAAGATGTTATATTTAATTGGGGTTTCTGAGGGCTTAATTAGAAAATATTATGATTATGGTGATTAAAATATATGTAAAATGATGTCTCAACCTACTTCTATTTTTTTAGAGGAAAAACTTGAAATATTTCAGTATTTTATTTAATAGGCTCTGTTAGTGCCCTGGGTCATTATTTTGAGTTTTATTTGTGAATGTATAGTGGTATAAACAAATATCAAAGTTATAGGAGATTGGCTTGAATGTATATTAATTCTGGTAGGTGTGCTGGACTTAAAACACTTTTACAATTTTTTTCTTTTGATTCTCTTTTTTAAAATTAAAAAAATTTATTTTGACTGTTCTTAAAAGTAAAATGTAACATTTTAACATCTCTTCATTCTATTTAACTGAAAATTCTAGATTTTGTATTATGTAGTTTTATTTAGTTGTATTCCAGCTTATTCCACACAAAGGATTTGAGGCAATTTAGGAAAAAAAAAAAATTGAAGGGGCCAAGTAAGGGAGTCAGAAGAAGGAAAATAGATACAGGAGAATAATAAACTGCAGTAACATTTCCTTCTGGAGATGCAAACTAGATAGTCCATCCATTTGTTAGAGAAAGGTTGCACATATTACCTTCGAGTTTCCTTGTGGCCAAAGCAAAGGGGGATAATCCATAGGTTTTAGTGTCCATTGGATAAAAACATTGTTTTTCCTGTTACTGAGACCTGAAGTACATAAAGAGGACAGCATTTGGATAACATTCTTCCAGCAACCATAATTATGAGAGTTCAGGAGTGGGATAAATCAGCAGAAGTCTAATCTGGTCTAGTTCAAGAATACAATTCAGATAAGTCAAAAGGAAAAGATTACCTGGCTTTCAGAGCCATGCATAGAAAAATGTCTATGCGTGTTTTTTTGTACCAAACCTTCAATAAGGATTGAAAAAGAGAAGTTCTAGTTCAAGTTCCTGACAAGGACTTGGATTTCATATATTTTCTATCACTAATAAGAGATCTTGTGGTTTAGTTTATGTTTATTGAGGTTTTTACCTTATATGACATTGAGCTTAGACTGAAATGCATAAAATTGAGAAATTTTGTGTTACCTGACTTAAAATTCTCACATCACAACTCTTTTTCTAACCACTATGAGTTTGCGAGATAAAACTCACAGGTCTGCCATAGCAGCATCGTAGCACAGCCTGAAATTGCCACCATGCTGTCCCTCTTTTCTCCTAGCCATATTAAATGCTTCTTTCCTTCAAACCCTACTTGTTTTGAATCACCTTCTTTCTCATTACTATTTCATGTCTCTAATGATCTCACTGCTTTCACAGATCTCCTGTAGAACTCGGTTGACTGCCTTTTTCATCACTTACTAAAGTTTCTTATTTTTAATTTTATTTCTCTATCCTCTCTATAACAGGGTTGTAATTCATTGAGGGAATTGATCTGCCATGGCTTATACTATTTTTGATTCCTCAACTCTTGGCATTGTGGTTTTCAGATTTGTATAGAAATTGAGGTACTCTTTCTTCACAGAATCTCAGAATCACTAAGTGTATAATTATGTGCCAAATGAGTTGATACCTCACATTAAATTCTGGTTGAATAGGCAAGGGAAGACCAGAGTTTGAAAGAAAAAAAAAATAGGGGAGTAACATTTAAAATTGAGATAATTAGGCTGGGTCTGGTGGCTCACACCTGTAATCCCAGCACTTTGGGAGGCCAAGGCTAGCAGATCACCTAAGGTCAGGAGTTTGAGACCGTCCTGGACAACATGGTGAAACCCTGTCTCTACTAAAAATGCAAAAAAAAAAGGCCGGGTGTGGTGACGGACATCTGTGATCCGAGCTACTCAGGAGGCTGAGACAAGAGAATCACTTGAACCGAGGAGGCAGAGGCTGTGATCCGAGCTACTCAGGAGGCTGAGGCAAGAGAATCACTTGAACCCAGCTGAGATCGTGCCACTGCACTCCAGCCTGGCGACAGAGTGAGACTCTGCCTCAAAATAAATAAATAAATAAAATTTAAAAATAAAATTGAGGGGGGACGGAGCAAGATGGCCGAATAGGAACAGCTCCAGTCTCCAACTCCCAGCGCGAGCGACACAGAAGACCGGTGATTTCTGCATTTTCAATTGAGGTACTGGGTTCATCTCACTGGGGAGTGCCAGACGATTGGTGCTGGTCAGCTGCTGCAGCCTGACCAGCGAGAGCTGAAGCAGGGCGAGGCATTGCCTCACCTGGAAAGCACAAGGGGGAAGGGAATCCCTTTTCTTAGCCAGGGGAACTGAGACACACAACACCTGGAAAATCGGGTAACTCCCACCCCAATACTGCGCTTTAAGCAAACAGGCACA